CTCATTACTCCTGGTGACAGATATAAATAAGGAAGCCCTGTGTGTTTTCCTCCCGTCGCTGTTTTCGCGGCTGTGCGCGGCGGACCTTTGAGCCCTCTCGGCCGCCGTAGCGGCAGGAGGAGGAGAGCATGACTGGTCCTTTGACGTGGAATATTTCCGTAAAGAGACGATGGAGGAGTAGCAGCAGCGTGTAGCTCCAAGCTATCCCGTGATAACCTCAGAACCGAGACGGGATTTAAGCACCGAATCGCGGCCAGACCTGGGTCCACCGGAGCCGACGGACAGCAGTCTGTGACGGACTGATCCCTTTGTGCTGCCCGCCGCCCTCCGCTCAGCTACAGTCATGATTAAAGCCATTTTAATATTCAACAACCATGGCAAACCGAGGCTTTCTAAATTCTACGAGCATTATGTGAGTATGGCTTTTATTTCTATCACTCTTGCTTTTATTTATTTGCGTGATCGCGACGCCAAAATGTAAATAAATAGAAAGTAAATAAATAAAAACCAATCAGCTGTGAGTGTAATCTCACTTTTTCATGTTTTCTCATGTCTGGAGTCACACAGGCTGTTTGAATGGCAGGCAGCCTGGACTTTGTGCTTTTTTATTTTTTATTCTTTTATTTGATTACAATCTAAGACGTCAGCGGAGTGTCCTTTAGAAACATGAATAATTAAAGGTGTGCAAGCCGAAGCGGGCCGATCGCGTTCCGGCTGTAGGAGCAGGACGCTGGGATCCAGCTGTGGAGAGATGAGCACACCACCGGACCCACTTCACTGTTTGGGTCACATGACTTTAATAACGCCCTTGTGAGCGACTCGTGGTGCCTCCAGCCCCACAAAGCCCTCCTGCTGCCATCAGATCCCTGCCCTGGTCTGGTCTGCCCTGGTCTGGGCATGGCAGCAGCCCGGACTACCTGCTCCCCTCCGCTGGAGCTGCAGGTAACAAATGGCAGCTTATGTAATGTCATTTGCTGGGCAAGCTGCGTTGGCTTGTTCTCATAATTGGATTTATATCTGAAAGCTGGCTGCCTGCCTCCATGTTTAATACTGGCATTACAATAACAAGGAGGAGCCACACCGGTGCTGCTGCTTCACTGACTGGGACTGGAACCCATCTGCAGCTTCTTAAAGTTACTGGTTTGATCATACACTTAAGAAGCAGATGACGTCTGTTTTATAGCCATGTTTGTAGCAGC